ACTTCGACCCCAGTAGACCAATTGTTGTGAGAATGGAAGCCAGCTACAATGAAGGGTTGTCAGCAGGACTCTTCCAGCGAACCTCGACAGGACTCCAACCAGTTCACTTTATTAGCCGGACGATGACTGACACTGAAAAACGCTACAGTCAAACAGAGAAAGATGCTCTGTCAGTGAAATGGGCCAAGAATAGATTCAGTATGTACCTACTTGGAGCACCTAAATTCCAGATAATTACTGCACACAAGCCATTAATCCCAATGTCCAACAAAGCAACCATGAAGCTTCCACCGAGAATTGAAAAATGGGTGATGGACATGCAAGATGTTGACTACGAGCTTGTATACCAGCCAGGAAAGGATGCAGCAGATCCCCTAGACTTCCTTTCAAGACACCCTCTACCGAAGAGAGGTACAGACGACACAGAACATACCATCAAACAAATAATAGTTGACGAACATGAAATCGTCATAGACCGCATCAGAGAGGAGACAAAAACAGACCAGCAACTCCAGAGTTTGCAGAAAAGGATGCACATTGGTGATTGGGAACACTACAAAAGTAACCCAGACATCGCACCCTTTTACCCAGTTCGTAGTGAGCTGTACACAGCAGAAGGATTAATCTTCAGACTAAAGAAGATAGTAATACCGGCAACTATCCAGCGAAAAGTCATCAAGGCAGCACACAGCCTAGGACACTTAGGCATGACAAAAACTAAGCAAATGTTAAGAGAGAAGTATTGGTTTCCATTGATGAACACAATGACTGAACAATTGATAGGGCAATGCTATGAATATGGAGTCACCACCAAAGCACACAATCAAGAACCTATCAAGATAATGCCAATAGCAGAGAGACCGTGGGATGTAATATCAGTTGACTTCGGAGATATCCTAACGGGCACTACAATCTTGTTGCCGTAGACAAGAGAACAAGATACCCAGAAGTTGAAACAACATATTCAACAGCATTTCAACCTACCAGAGACAAACTAAAGAAAATGTTTGCTACACATGGAACACCAAGAAAAGTCGAAACAGACAATGGACCACCATTTATCTCCAAACAATTTGAGGAATTTGCGATGGTGGAAGGCTTCACGCACCACTTAGTAACACCAGAACATGCTCAAGCAAATGGAGAAGCGGAGAGCTTCATGAAAACCCTGAATAAGACTGAACAAATTGCACATCTACAGGGAGTAAACACAAACACAGCAATTCAAGAAATGTTAACAGGGTACCGATCAACACCTCATCCAGCTACAGGTATAACCCCGTATAATGCATTGATGAACAGACAGATCCGAATCAAATTAGATTATGAACCACGAGAGACTACAGCAATACCCCGGGATACCATAATGGAGGAAAGAGACGGAGCATACAAGGACAAGCTTAAGCAACAATCTAAAAACAGGAACACCTGAGAACACACATTTGTGGTAGGAGACTATGTACTTTTGAAGCAAACAAAAAGAAACAAATGGACCACTGCTTATGAACCAGCTTTTTATGTCATATACCGCATAGATGGTTCATCAATCGCAGCTAGAAGAATCACTGATGGCAGACAGATGCAGGCAAATTCAAACTTGCAAATGCATTTATACAAAATCCTGACAGTGAATTAGAGAATGAAACGGACTGGAGAGAGAAAGTACTACTAAGGGCACACCAACCCATAAATGAAATGGAGCACCAACCAAACTATGAAAACATGGACCAATCACAACCTACGGAAACACCAATAACACCAATAACCAGACCACAAAGGAATAGACGGAGACCTACATACCTGAAAGAATGTATCTTATAAACTATATTATTGTATATCAATACAGATCATCAATTATCAAAAGCTATATAAAAGCTATATAACCCACTAAAGAACAGAAAATGCATGCATTCATAAATTATTCCAAACCACATAATCAATAAACCTATGTTACGATTTAAGCTGTTAAATACTTAATGCAATTACTATAGGAAATACATCCAGCAGAGAAAAATCAATGTACTACAGTATAGTATAAATCATAGAAAATATTAATCGCTAAAGTCTATTGAACTAGTTAATAAAAGAAAGACAACAATGGACGATTTAATTAAAATAGTTATATATTAATAGTTGCATTAAAGTTAGATAGATTTTATAGATTAGCTAAAGTGGATAAAGTTAGAGATCTCTTAAAAGAAAAGGAGAAATGTGATATCGTATGTAGCACCCTCTTTTGAGCGCAGTTGCTACTACCACGCTGACAGCGGAGAAGTATTAAAATGTCATTAGTTGAATTCTAACTATAGCCTCTGTGTATCATTTAAAATTACACACGGGATGTTTCACTATGCATGATACA